CTCTTGGTACAACTCGAATCCACACTAAGGCCACAATCTGCGACTGGTCCGGTCACAAGTAGATATTGCATCATTCAGACCTGTTAGACGTGGAGTGCCCAAAACATTCTGCACCCTGTCTGATCACTTTTCACCACGCAGTTCCACTCTTTAGAAGTGACATAATATGAGTGAATCAAACACTCATCTGGAGCAGAGTGTAGGCACAGAGCATACAATGGACCGACATAATGACAAAGCACTCAATTTAAATTGTATCCAATAAACAATAGAGAAGCTTACTAGTCTAAAAGGAGAACTTCACTTACACTGGTCGTAATCAGCCCCTCTCATCTTGGAGGGTTTTGATGGGAGCAATTATTTTGATTTCAATTGAGTTGTCTTTTTATGTATTTGGTTTACTTTAAACTGGGCAGATACTGTATGGAATTCATTTAATATTAATGGAGTCGTATTTTACAGTACATGTTGTAGCCAACTAGTCTCGACTGAGACTGTGCTGTGATATGAATAAAGCTGAACTCCACCGCAAAACAGACATCCTAGAAGTGCAGTAATGCTGTCTTTCTTTTTTCTTTAACATTTCTGAGGATCTCTCTTGTATGAATAAAGCCTTACTGGATTACATTTAGTGTGAGTGCCAATATTGGGACCGGTCTATTCAACTGTACGGGATAAGTGTACCGCAAGGTTAATGGTATACATGCAAAGTGTCTTCCGAGCCTAATTAAAATTTTAATTTGGTTCAGTGTCATTTCTTTTCTAAACAGTTAATCATTTGCTGTCTTATGTGAAGTACTTTGTAACTTAGCTTTTGAAAAGTTCTCTACCATTTTATATGATTATTAGTAGTAGTGGTGGTATTCAGATGGGAGGAGTCGGCTACATCCTGTACAGCTACATCAGCCTCAGACCTGCCTTATCTGACAGCAATCTGACATTGTTTGAGCAGGTGGTAGTGACAGTAGACATAGTTTTATAGTTATAGTGCAGCATGGGACCGTACGTGATACGGAATAGTTGTTAAATGTCTTCTAGATTACTTGTCTATGTCCATGTGGATTGTTTTATAGGACAGTATATAAATCTTTCAAGTATGCTGGCACACTTGTGACTGTCTGAATGAATATGTATGAGTGTGAAGCTGTATCTGTGTGTGCAGTGTTTCTGAGAAGCACTTCTTGCATATCCTTGCACATATGTAAATGTTTTTAAATGTCTGCTTTGTTGTTCTTACCTTAGGTAGTTAGACAGTTAGACAGTTAGACAGTTTTAGACCCTCAGAGGGGAGATATTTTCTTGATTGTCTCCAAGTTAATGGGCTACGTCAGATTTAGGATTAGGGGGATTGGAAGTTGGTGGACTCTCACAAGTCTCTTTAGACATGTTTACAAGTAAATGTGTAAATGCGATTGAGTGTGATCGTTGCCGTGTCGCCCCTGCCAGCACTGTTGCATACGCGGTGGTGGACAGAGTTGGTGGCAGTCAGCCAGCAGCCCCAGCTAGAAAGCAGCTGAAGATGAAAAGGAACGCACAGAAGAAATGCAAAGCGCTCGGCTAAATCCTCCCAAATGATTTAGACACGCAGCGTCCAGCGCCTGTGAATGTGAAAAACACACACAGGAGCATTTAAAACAGTCGAGGGTCTTTGATGTGCATTTTTCTCCCTGCATTTGAAAAGCTGGACGTGAATATTTATCACTAAAGCCCACGGAGCGCATTAATTCAAAAGTATCACCGAAAGGTTGCATTCTCACCGTGTTGTCTCACATGGGGATTTCCTGTGGCCTTCTAATTTATACTTTAACGATATGAGGTTGATTCACATGCTAAATCTTTCCCACATTTACATTTATAGACTGATCTCACTTCTGCTTATAACTAGACAGCACACCGCATGAGGTCACTTTTTTCAAATAAAATTCAGATACGCGATGCTCAAGCTGAGAGATATTAACTGCACTCCTTGAATATTGATAACAAATTAACTTCCAGTGTATCATAACTTTGAAAGAAGCCAAGGACATAGATATCCCAGTACTGTTTGGTGAGAAGAAACAGAGCTGAAACATAAGTTTCATGTAAGAATGTGGCTGATTATTAATTCAATTTAATCTGTCAAGGCCACCAGAGGATACACTGTCTGATAACAGAACAAGGTCAAGAGACTCCTACTCTCATCTGGTATGACTCAGGGTTTTCCACAGCTGTTCACAGCAGCGGTGGGCCACTTCTACTGAATTAACACCTGCTTCTGGTAGGATTGGGTATTGAGACCCTGCTCTGTGATGGAAGCGGTTCCAACATTTATAAGGACAGAGCCAGGCATAGTTGCAGTACAACATTCACATCCCTTATGTACTGTATGTTTAAAGAGGAGGGATTTTCTGACAGATTTTTCAGTTCAGTGTTTCCCCTGGTGTTTCCTTGTTGAGCCGTAGCTGACAGATATGTCTTGGCAGTCACATCCACCATCAAGAAACTGATGTGTAACTGCCAGGATGGATCCCTCTGCTGCAACTGCGAGCAATAACTGTCCGTGGCTGTGGCTATTTAGCGATAGCTTATAATGGTAGCTAATTTGTGTAACGTCACTGACAGTGTTAAGTTAGCTGTTGGTTGAAAGAATTAAAGATCTAAGGGAAGGGGAGCATGCATTCAACAGGTGGTCAATTCTTACATATAGCTCCTTTAAAGAAGTGCTGTTTGACATCATCGGTACCAAATTGGACCTAAATTCAAAGGTGAATATTGTATACAACATTTAATTTTCTTTCTCATACAGTATAATAAGCCAATAATGGACTTGGGACCGGTCTATTCCACCGTACAGGACTTGAGTGAGGCTCGTGTTTGGGCCATTGTCTTGTAACAGAAAAAACAAGATGGCTTCAGGATGTGTCAGACTCAGCTTAGCAGATGACAGCTACTGATCGATTGAGGTTTACCCATCGTTCTCTGCTTTACGCCCACCTCCCGCTAGCTAATCCAGCCGCCTCCAGTGGGGAAACTCTGTGACTGTAATATCAAAAACTGTGCACAAGGCTCAGATGAGCGGGACAAGCCAAGGCATATCCAACCAAACAAAATCTCTCCGAATTTTTAAGCTCAGAGATGCTTACACAAACAGCCAGGCAAAATCCATCTTTCTGACAGAATCATTTCCAAAGCTTGAAGCCCCAACTGGGCTCCTGGATGCACTTCTGAGCTGTGCCCGCCTGGGAGTGAGAGTGTCAGTGTGTGTGTGTGTGTGTGTGTGTGTGCCTGTGTGTATGTAGGGAAGGCAGAAAGAGAGGATAAAATATGAGTCATTCAATACAGAATATGAACTGTGTGTGTCTGTGGCAAAACCAGTCTTTAGCTTTCTTTCTACTACTCTTTAGAATATGAAGGTTCCTTACTAGTTTAGTAATGCATCCTTCTCTGGATTGACGGAACTTCTAGGTGACTGCATGTATGAGTGTGTGTGTCTATGAGAAAGAGAGATTAATGGTGTATTCCTCTCATTTCTCAGGCAATCCATCTGAGCCACCAATTCACACGAGCTGCCTCTCAGCACTAACTCTGTAGCAAATGGACTGAATGAACTGAGTGTAGACATGTGTAGACTCCAGATCTCACTAACACATCCTTGCTCTCTGACACACTCACACACACTTACACACACACACAGAACAATATACTCCATATTGAGACTATGTGTCTTTTCTGCATTTCTCGGTAACAGAAGATGTCCTTATGTAGGAAATGAGATGCGCAGTGTTCCCACTCTTTTTAAAAGAACATTTTCCACTCTGTGTTACCTCGTGTTCGTGGCACGCTTGGCTGTTCTCACCACAGACGAAGTTTCTGCTGCAGCCTCAGCGGAGCATGAATAAGTTCAAATCACATAGAATTTATTTTATTTTGAAATACAATTGCAGGATATTTGGTCAATATCAATTTTGGGGTGTTTCTATGATTGGAAAACTAGTCTCTAAATTTCCAGGTTTTCCAGATTGTCCAGGACGCTGCATGAGGCAGAGTCAGTGCAAGATAGAGACACTGGAAGGCACTGGCTTCTGTCCTTTAAAATGAATGTATAATGTTCTTAGAAATATTATCCAACCCGTAACACTTAGTCACCTCAGTCACCTCAAGTAATGAAGCTACCACCCTCACACCAGCACATCATGGAGCAGAAAGATCCTCCACCCAAAACCTAACCACCTCCACAACCACAGAGGATAAGGAAGGGTGGGGTCGCAGAGCCATTTGGTGTAAATGAGGTGCCTCAAGCTGCAGCCAAAAGCGCACAGCAGGAAAATGTGATACGCTGTTTGAGAAAAGTACTGGCTTGTTAAAAGGGACACTAAGTTTCAGTTTCATAATTGTTGACTAAATTGGTTTGTAGAATTACTGAAGATGTTGTGTTAATATTGTGACGATTACAATAACAGTTTTCCATTTCAGGACTTGTTCTCATTATCATCACCTCTCTTATTCATTACATTACTGAAACGATTTTTCCAAATGCCTTTATTGCATCTTCTGCCAAAGTGCCTTTTCTCAAAATGCAATATTAAAAAGTATTGTTCAGCCATAGACAAAAACCCATCTCTGACTCCACACATTTTGCTGTCACAGCTCTGTATTCCATGTTATCAGTGTCCTCTTATCTCTGATATACCGTATTTACGCATCAACACTTCCTAATAACTCATCTATTTTTCTGAAACCTTTGTGCTGCTCTGTTCTGGTGTCAGTAAAAGTTATCATCAACGAGCAATAATATCCTTCCTTCTCCGAAATGTCAACGCCTGCAGTGACAGAGACAAAAGATTCTCATTTCCTGAGCCACCACAGTGTATTTAATCAAGTTTGGATTCAAATTTGTTTGGAAGAGGCGCAATGAGCCATAAGGACTGAAGTCTTTTCAATAAGAATTAAAAACCAAATAAATGAGCATTTCAAGTTGGACTAAAGAAATAAAATGATATGTACAAAATAATCCAGTTTACCTGTAAATGGGATCCTGCATCACCATCATCTTGCTCTCATCCCACGTCCACTCCTTCTTCTGTGGAAACAAAAAAAAAACAAAACTGTCAGTTCAGACAAAAGTGAATTTTTAATACATAAAGCAGAGGACTGAAGGGAGGAAAAACATTCATTCAAACTTTAAACTGAAAATTGAACAAAATAAAATTAATACATATATTTCCGTCTTGTATCATTATCGAGAGTGGGATGCATCTGATTATTTCTATTGGTGTGGAAATTATTAGAACATCTCCATCTTTGAGACATTCATTTCCATCTTTACGGTTTCCTTTTGTCTGTCTGTCTGCCTGTTTGATTAAATCTACCTTCCAGTTTATCACAATCAAAATGTCAACACATGAGCACACCGAAATTATTCATATTGATTCCCATCTCCACATTGCTTTGTTGACTCAATCATTCAATCACTCCAATCTCCGGTTTTTCATTGGCTCCGACGTACTCAGAGATGTAAATAGATTGCTGACCATTGCACTTGACATTTCAGGGAGCCAAATGGGACAAGAAAACAGGTGGAGGCAGAACATCTTTTTATCGACCCTGCCTTTCATTCCAGCCAGCCAGCAAGCCAATGATGCCTTTAATATTATTCCCATCAGCCAATACATCACAGAAGGGCTGTTCAATCAAATCACTTCCGTCACACATCTTCTCTCTCTTGGGTTTGTTTTCGAGTAAGAACATTTTCATGGCTTCAAAATTTTAGACCCGATCTGAAGTGGACCAGTGAAAAGTCTACCTGGACCCAATGGACAGTCAGATCTGATCTTAATAGACTTAACAGAGTATGCTGAGTGGGAGGAATCGCTGGTTCTTTAACTTTCCTGACTGTAAATTCCCATTTTATTTTTTAGTAAAGTCTTCAATGTTTCTCAGTATAGAATAGTATACCATTAAATGGGGCGGATGGCCAAAATTACAATACCCACAAACCTCAGCCTCCGTTAACTTGACTGCACCAGATGGTTTGTTACACAGAACCATCTGGGACATGTTTGTAAAATGTCCCTTTTGAAAGGCCCTTGACAGGTGATTTAATTAATAATCTGTCTATCACAGGCAAACTTTAATCAGTCAAATCAATGAACCATATAACATAATCAAACTCTTCTCAGGAGAAGAGCAAAACAAAAAATCCCATCAAGAAAAGCCTTCAGTACCATTCTTTTCATCCTTTCAATCAAGAAATATTCTCCATTTCTGATATAACTGTTGTAGCAGCATCTACACTAACCCCTTAAGTATCTGCAATTGCTGTTTAATTCTCACACCATTCAGGCTGTAGAAGACCTGTGAGGCACCTGTCATGGAGAAACACTGTCTATGGAGAAAATGAACGGAACTTCTACTTTCCGAAGTAATTCCTCCCACTCTGCAACTGTATTAAAGCCCATCCAAACTGCGGCCCGCCCAAACAGAACCAAATACAATTTGAGAATAGGCTGCTCCTTAGAGGACCATTAAGACAACTCAATTAAGCCTTCTTTTATTGACACTAATGTATATCTGCGACTTACATCTGCCTATAAGAACAAGTGAAGGTCAGTATGTCTCCCTGTGTTGCATACATGCAATAGAGAAATTCTACATATCCAAATTTGCCATGTTTTTTGAGTGTAAATATGCAGACTAACTTAGAGTCTAATATATGGTGTAATAATTACAGTCTTTCATGACTGTTTGCTGGAGCCAAATATTTCAACAGATACCATTCTTCATGCTGCAGCACTAAAATGATAGATAGATAGATTCATGCATTTTAATAGAAGCTTATTAAAATTTCGGGTTCAATCAATTTAAATTCATTACTCATTTAATATTTTCCAGCAGAATCTGGTGGCAGCAGCTTTGTTGGGGGAATTTAGAGAGATAATTGTCCACATATCAACTCTGCACCCAATGCAAAAAGATCAACAAGTCATGTCCATTCATTTTATTTGAAATTTGACTTCTGAGTGGTTGGTAAAAAATAAATTGAAAAAATCTGGCTATGCTGAACTTTTCACATCCAACCTGCAGACCGGTAAAACAATAATCTGTATATAATCTGTCTAAAAATGGCAACAGTTTTAACACAGGATGATGCTGGGCAGTTACTACTGTTACATTAAATATTCAATACATTTTAGAGGACTCTAAAAGCAGCCTGAAACCATGAAAAACTGTGAATTGTTTTAAGTCCGGATAAATGTATTGAGATGAAAAACTGAATGCAGGTGAGGAGAATGGACGGCACTGCTAAATTAACTTCCCTTTGTTCCCATCTACTGGTTTTCTACCTGTCAGACTCCCTGTGATTCTCCAGTCTGTCTCTGTGGATTACAGCTGTGAGCCTCACCGCAGATTCCACCCCGCCCCCAACACACACACTCCCCCGCCCCGTCTCCAGTTTCTTCAAGTTTATTCTTCGCTCCTTTCTCTTCTTTTAACTCCATCCTCCCTTTTCATCCCTTCTCTTTACTCTTCAACATCTTGTCCCATCTTCGCCTGCACTTTCGATTCCTCTCAGGCCCTTTGTCCTCCCTTTCAATGTCTCCTTGCTCACCTCTATCAGCTTTCTAATTAGGACGAGGATCGATCACCACCTCCTGCCACACACATCCTGTGGATCAGGAAATGGATCTGGTCTGGTTCTTTAAAGTGACTGACCCCACATCTAGCACAACAGTGTTTTGTCTGGCTGTTATATACTACAGCATGATTGAAACACCATATTTTCAGGGCTACATGAGCAAAACAGCGAACAAGTATAGCACAAGTGGCAGGGCTGTCAACATTACACATATTTTCAATATGTGTCCGGCTACTGACAGAACCTTCAATTAAGAAGAGTATGGAAATATAACAGTTCCACATGTAAGGGACAGACCAAACAAAGTAGAATACAATACCATAAAATGTCCACTAGACTACAGCGGCTTAATGTCTTCAAATTAAGGTAAATATCTCATCAACAAACACAAACCAAGACCTTAGATCAGTGAGCAGAGTCCATTTCAGTCTCAGTCTTTCCTTCCTGGATGAAAATAACCATAAATCATTTTTGTACATGTTGTAAACAACGATTCTATGATGTAGCGATTTCACACAATGTGCAAGCACAAAAATCTTAATTAATCAAATTAATTCAATGTATCACCCACTTATATCAACTTCATGTCTCTGTTTGCTATTTGCTAAACAGCAGCACATTGTCACCTCCAATGAAGACAAGAAATAAGCATAGTTTCTAATAGTAACGAGATTTAAACTTCTCTCATTATAACATATGAGCCTATAGAATAAGAAGCAGTTTAAGATGTTACAAGAAACGTACGTTGTTACAATGATAATGGGAGCCAATTAAAGCTTAATAGAAAGACATTGTAGCCTACAGTACCTGTTGGTACTGTTACTACAAAAGTAACCAGATTTGTCTTCTTGGCAGTTTACCATACTCTAGTAACAATGATAATAACTTTATTCATATAGCACTTTTAAAGACAGTTTACAAAGTGCTTTTATAGATGAAGCAAAAACAAGAGAGACAGGCCAGAAATAGAGAACAAGAAAAACATGGTCGAGGGAAGATGATGAAGATGAAAGATGAGGATGGTGAATAAATACAAAAAGAAGAGAGAACAAAAGCAATAGAAGCAATAAAATAAAATACAAAACTACATCACATTAAAGCAAGTCTATGAAAATGGGTTTTAGGAAGTGACTGATTGTGTGAGCCTTATCTCCTCCGGCAGGTCATTCCAAAGCCCAGGGGCCCTGGTGGTAAAAGAACAGTCACCTTCGGATTTAAGCCTCAACTTCAGAACAGCCAGTACCTGAGGATCTAAGGCTGCGTATATGGGGGGTCAACAATGCTGCTACATAGCTTGGGGCCAGTCCCAGACGTGCTTTAAAAGTGATCAGTAAAATCAGTTCTAATCAATTCCTTCTTTTCCACGTCAGAAATAAGAGCTCCGATAAAAGAAAGGAGTAACTCACTTTTTTCTTTTTCCTCAAATTGACTTTCACGCCGTCGACAGACACCACAATGTTGACTTTTTTCTTCTTGATGTTTTTCACCTTGAACTCATACTGTGGAGAGAAGACACACAGGGATGTATTAATATTTTGAGGGATTAAGGTAGACAGTGACATTGTTACAGACAGTCACACTGTTCAAATATTTAAAGACGGAAAAGTGTGAGTCATGTCTGGAGGCCACATTATAAAGGACAGTACCAGAAAGTGAAGAAATATAATGTTCATTTATACATTTTGTTTGTTATTTAAAAGACAGTTACATGGGGGCTTTGAGCTGAAGAAAGAACGTTATTTTAACAGGGACAATATAACAATTTCTTTCTGTTCCCATTAGAAAGTGAGTTGTGACTGAGTACACACAATTGGAAATACACAATTGCTGTAGCCTGAGACTGAAAACATGAAATGAAGGATGACCTTCAGGATCAACAATGGATACGAATGAAAGAATTTGAAAAATATTTTGGCCCACTTTCATGTAATAGCATCTTTAAGTCAAGTGAATTGAAATGTTTTTCAAAACGACAAAACAGTAAAAACTCTTTACAACTCGATACAAACAGACATACAAGAACTTTGTTCCGAAAAAAAAATACTGTAAATAATGAACAATATTCTGATTAACTGAGGCAATATCTGACCAAGGAGTAAGTAAGAGTAAGTAAGAAAGACTAGCTATGGCCATGAATCATATGTTACAACTCAATTATCTAGAAGCCAACAATTTTAAGTCGCACACTTGAGAACTGGTATATTTCCACTGACCACTGAAGTTGACTGTGAGTTGTGTGATTTGGGAATCCCACTTTCTTTTGTACTGTGCATACTTTGAAGATTTAAGAGTGTCAATTTTCCATCACATGGTTTGATGAAACTCTGAAATTGGAATGGTTATTTAATTTTGATGTTTGCTAACTTTGTCTCAAAAGCCTGGAGAGAAGGCAAGACGGAATATTTATCTAGTATGTATTCTGATTTATCCATTGTTCTACATATACAGTGCAGGTTTTGTTAGTGATTCACTTGCTGTAGACAACGTAATATGTTTGTATACACAGCATTCTGGATCTGGTTTATACTAATTAGTGGGTTATTGTGAGCTCATGTGAGCTGGGTATAGCTGTATTTATGACAATAAAAAAAACGTAATTCATTCACCAATCATGTACTGCCTATAGCAAGTAACACTGTAACTGCAAAAATAGATGTTTTAGACCATTATATGCAACTTTTCAGTACTTGCCAGTTATTAACAATCAATGCTACAAGACAGCCAAAGCTGTCTGAAAATTATTTATTGTTATATCTTTTGGCATCTGACAAACTGAATGGCCATGAAATTCATTTGAGCGAGGCACTTAACCCCAACCAGGTGCTTGAGTGAAGTTGAGGTCCACCATGTGAATTGTACAAAGAAACATTTAAAAACTAAATTCTTGACTTGAACTTCTTTCCCACCTTGACACTAACAATTGTAATAATAGAGCAGGGATTTATATCCACTCCAATTACAGTTCTTCTACTATGTGATGATGAACAGATTGGTCACAGAAAATGACAATAAGCCCTGCTGAATAAACAAAGCATGGTCGGGAGACCTCTGTCACAGCCAATTTAAACACCATAGATCAGACTGAGACAGCTTCCATCATCTCCTCCGTCTCTAATGGAGCTGTGAGCACTGTCATTCAACAGCACTGCAGCGGCCGACCAGTCCATTCAGTGTGGAAACACTTTCATTTGCATATCAAATCCAAAGCAGGTGTACAAAGTGTATCAAGTGGCTTTTACGTTATTGTTGGAATCCTGCATTCATATGCAAGTGCAAGGTAATATGCAAACACACATGCAGCCAGGTGAGCGCCTGCCTCCCTCTACAACAATCCTCCACATATCGATGGTGTTCTGAATTAGTGGGATGTAATTGAGACGTATAGAACCACCTGTCATGGTAGTCCGGAGAGACATTAGCTCCGTCTGTATTTCTATTTCTGTCCGTCAGCACTCTCACTAAGTTGGCTAGTTTGTGTGTCTTGCTGGGTGATACACTATGGTGCCACTGAAAGTATACCCTCATTAATGCTGCACTAGCAAGCAATCTTTTGCAGGAAAGCAACTGTGTTATGAGCCTAAGTGATAAAACCTTCCACCCTGAGATAATGCAAGATACACCCTCTTTGTTCAAATTAAATTATAGTTTCATGTATTGATGCTCAAGGGAAATCTGCTCTGTGCAAGGAAGTGAGAAATGGAAACTTAAAACAGCAAGAAAAACAGCAACAGCAGTGAGACAGTACTCTGTCCAAACCAGCTGACAAGTTGACTCACTTCACCACCTCCAGCAAACACAGAAAAAATAACATTTAGCTGGCCGAGGCCTCTGCAGGTTTTCTGCCTAATGAAGTTCTTTAAGAGTTCACTTGCTGCCAAAATCCAAAGCTTCTGGCAGGACTGGTAGCACAAAATCTGCAATGTCATACAAAGGCTGATGCTGATGCTGCTGCTATAAAGACGATGTCTGACTGTGTTTACCACGTGTTGCATTCAGTCACCTCTAAATCAAATCTGAACGCAGATGCTGTTTGAAACTTTATCTGTCATGTTTTTCCAACTGCTCGCTGGCACTTTCTGTCAATCAATCCGTCAATATTCCTGCTGCTGTAGCTGTCAGTCGCCCTCTCTGTCAGTGGATTGTCTGTCCTCTTTAGTGTCACTCTGGACTCATTTAATATTGACTCGGTTTTCTCTAATTCAGTTGCATTTTTCCTTGTAAACACTTTAGACTCAAGTTCATATAAAAGCAGTGAAGTAACACACTCCCCTTAGGTTTATAAAAGCATTAACACATTCAATAAAATAAGAGCTGTTCTTCATTTGTGTTAACCTGTAATATTTTCTCTTTATCCCTGCTGAGACCTTAAATGAAGAGCCATTAAATCATACTCTCTTTTGTATGAAATAAAATTAAATAAAAATGATTCATTGGTGAATTATAGTAACAAAACTTAGAGCACCCGGCTGCAGCCAGCCAAGGTATGCAGACAAACTCAAACATAGCAGTTAATCAGTTAATTGTTTGGTCTAATGTTCGGAATAGAAAGCCTAAGGTTATGTAATCAAGAGCTCTTACTTTTTGTTTAAGTTAGAGAAGAAAAAGAAGAAAATCCAACACATAATAATCACAATTGAGAACCTGGAACCAATGTGTATCTTGTTTTACACTATGCACTTTTGCTTGAAAAAAAAGGACTTAGATCAGTCGTTTATTAGTATAATTTCTTATATTGATCAAGTAATCATTTCATTAAGTATTATTATTTTAGCTCTAGATACTTACTACGGCATACATATAAAAACAGTTTAGAAGTGATATCAGAGGCTAAAGTCCATTTTTCCAAGAAAACATTTTATGGAGGCTGTACTGTGCCTGCATATGGACATCTAAGCCTAAAACTCCTTTTAATACAGAAGGTCATTCATTCTACCAGCATACATATATTCAACATCTACATTATATGTTGTGCCCTTGAATCACAACAGGTTGACTGTTTATGAATGGTCTATGGTATAACAGGGGTTGACAGAAAGCAGAACTCAGGGCCTCGTCAGCATCGCTCTGTGAAGTCGAGCAGCTTCAACAAAGCTGGGCAGGAACCCAATCAGCTCCTCAACCCTGGGTTACAAACCATGCTGACTGTAACACAGCAGTCCTGGCTGTCAGTGTGTTTTGTTTGCTGACTGATGGACAAAGAGTGTGAGGTTTGCCAAGGGTCCTATGAAGGGTCCACAAGTTCCTATGTCCCAGCCTGCCTTGTAAAAGTATGTGTGCTGAAACTACTTGTTGATTAATTGATTAGTCGATGGACAGGCAATTCACCTACAACAATTTAGATAAGATTTAGTTGGTTTAATTATTAAATACAACTGCCAAACCTTTTTTCGGTCCCAGCTTCAAACTCATATAGTTATGAATCAAATCTATGTTATCGAGATAAAGTAAGCAATAGGTAGATGACACCTTCGTTTCCAGGAACCGTGGTGAGCACTTGTCCCCATTTTCAGCCATTTTTGGACTAAACAATTTATCAGTTAGTCAAAAACAAATAGTACTCAGATTTTATTCATCTGTGTTCTTGACAGTTTTTTTTTTTTTTAATCCCAATATATTGTCTTAAAGTATCCCAATATATTGCAATATACTCAACTGTAATCGTGATATGTATCATATCGGAAGATTCTTGCCAATAAACACACACATACTGGTATAATGATGAACTATAATTTTTTACAACAAAGTGTACAGAGCTCATTCAAAAGAGGGCATACAGTATACCAAACAGCAACAACTGAAACAAACTTACTCAAGAAAAGCCACAACAGCAGAAACTACACTTTCATTTTTGAATGAAAGAACAGTTTGTATACTGAGGAAGACTCATTGTTCTCTTTATACCAGTGGACTGTTAAACAATGGTTTACACAGCAGGTTTCTGAATCTATCCAGAGAGGTAATGTTGTTACGACCCGGCTCGTGGGGGAGAGGGAAGCAACATGAACCAGAATGTTTTTGGTAAAATTGCAAGTTATTCATTTAATAAATAATAAAATGAATATACCATACCATAATCAACAGGGACAAAAATGTAGCCACTGTACTCAACAACCTGTTGATACCTTCAACAAATTATTATCATTATTCTACATTATATGTTCATGCAGTAATATAGAGAAAGCACAAGCACAAACCATTATTCTCAAGTCTCAAAGTGCATGAATGTGTTTTATTGGTAGTTTTATGGGTGCGCAGTAATCTGCTGTAATGTTGACTGTGCTGCACAAGATTTAAACGTTGGTAAGCCTGATGGATTGCATGATTGACCTCCACAGAGATGATTACAGCAGCAATTTAACAGACTTCAAGCAGGGTTTGACTTGCTAAGTGTATGCAGCATAATATGACAGAAAGCACTTAACTCTAATAAGCCTGTCTATTCCTGTCTGATATGGCCCCATCATTGAATGCACATCTACCACCGCAAAGCTCACACTCT